TATCTCTGCAATTAAGAAAAAAAAATCTTCAATAACATTTCCTTGGTGGTGTTTATTTATTGCTTATGGTCTTTCAATGATAATTATTGCTGTTTCAACATTTTTCATCGTTGTTCGAGGAATTGAATTTGGTGATGTTAAAACTCAACAATGGTTAACATCTGTTCTTACTGGTTTTTTCTCATCGGTTATTCTTACTCAACCTATTAAAGTATATCTTCTAGTTTCTTTTAACCTATATTTTTAAAATATATTTCATTGAAGATTATATGTCTGGCTATATTCTTTATATGTTTTTGTCCAAATTCAAATAATGAAAAAGAAACAAGTGAATATATCAATGAAGATGATGATAAATTTAATTTATCTAATGATGAAGATTATCTTCATTCACCGGAGGTTTGTTTCCTTTTAGAATTTCATTGAAAAATAAATTTTCCATTTATAGTATCAATCATTATTTTCTCCTCAATCTCGAAAAAGTATTAATCGTCTAAATGAAAATGAAATTGCTTATGCTCGTGATCAACGTTTAAAAGAAATTCAAATGTGGAAAATTATTCGAGAGTTCCTGATTAATTTGATATTTGCAATATTAATTTTTGTCATCACTTATTCAGATCGTGAACAACATAGTTTCTTCCAAGTCAATCATTTACGAGCTTATTTTCTCAATCAAAGACAAACTACAGTTGATTATACTAAAGTTTGTTGTTCTTTTCTTGTATTGAAATAAATTTTGTTTTTTTTTCTAGATCAATACAATCGATGAATATTGGTATTGGTTAGAAAATAGTTTTGTTTCAAATATTCGTGCACAACCATGGTATAATGGAGATATTCCACAATATTTAAATGGATTTTTAAATGATAAATCTAATCGATTCATTGGTTGGGCAACCATGAGACAATTACGTGTTAAATCAGAATTATGTCCCGATCAACGTATTATTTCAATATGTGAAGATAGTTATACTTTTTCCAATGAAGAAACACAATTATTTGAACCAGGATGGACAACAAATGCAACGACCGAAGAATTCAGTCCATCAGTGATAAAAGCATTTAACTATACTACGAGTGATGAATTAGATACATATTCGTATATAGGTGAATTTGGAACATATAGCGGAGGTGGTTATGTCTATGAATTTCGCGGTCGTTTATCTGATATGAAAACAAATTTATCTACACTTCATCAATTAGATTGGATTGATGAGAAAACAAGAGCTGTTTTTATTCAACTAACATTATATAATCCAAGTGTTCAATTATTAACTGCAGTTACTTTACTTGCTGAATTTTTACCAACAGGTGGTGTTTATACAACAGCTCGTTTCGAACCAATTAATTTCTACAGTAATTCACTCTTTATCTTTTATTTCAAAAGATCAATAAATTTTTGTTTTTTAAATTTAGCATTTACATCATTATTACAATTAGTTTGTACAATTCTTTATATATTTTTTATTATTTATTTTATGATCATTGAAATTCGATTATTATTTGAATTAAGATTAAAATATTTTCATCAATTTTGGTCCATAATTCAATTAGGTATCATTGGTTGTTCATTGGGAAGTATTGGAGTTTATTTTTGGCGTTTTCAAGAAGCTAATCGTATCGGTCAGTTATTTGAACAAACCAACGGATATGTTTATATAAATTTACAACTTGCCATTTATGTCAATGATATTTTAACATTTCTTCTTGGTTTTTGTTTATTTTTTGGAATGATAAGATTTGTTCGTTTATTTCGTTTTAATCAACGAATATCTTTATTTTCTGAAACATTAAAATATTGTGCAAAGGAACTGATTTCATTTTCAATAATGTTTGCAATTATATTTATATCATTTCTTAGTTTATTTTATTTATTATTTGTATCAAAACTTTCATCATGTTCAAGTTTATTAGCAACTGCTCAAATGCTATTTGAAATGACATTGATGAAATTTGATGCATCAGAAATAATTGGAGCTGATGCTTTTCTTGGTCCATTCTGTTTTACGTTATTTATTCTTCTCGTTGTTTTTGTTTGTTTAAGTATGTTTTTTTCAATAATTATTGATAGTTTTCATCATGCGAAAGACAATCAAAAAGAAGATCAAGTTATGTTATCATTTATGGTAAAGAAATTTTTACGATGGACAGGTATGTAGATTTATATGATTTATTCAGATCAGTTGAGATTTCATTGGTATCTTGAGGATGTGGGTGAATGTGAGTATGATAAAAGAGAAGATTTCGACACTTACTCTCAAGATTGATGTATCTCAGTATAAGATAGTTGTCTATTAATATTTTAGGTTTGAACAAATTAAATCAATCAGAAATTCAAGAAGAACGAGATTGTCGAATGCGTTCACAATATATTGATCCAATTGAAAATTTTTCTAATAGAATTGATCAATTACTAGAAGCAGTCAACAGAGTATGTTGATATGTATTTTATTTTTATCTGAAATTATTTGCTGTTTTTTAGATTTATATTAATCAAAAAATCGAATTATCAAGACTGGAGAAAGCTGGACTCTAAAAACTATGCTTTAAAAAAGACTAATATTTATATAATCAACTCTAAATAAATTTTCAGACTTGTGTTCGAAATAAATCTTTAAATTTGATCATATGTTTTATTTCTGTAACATAGAA